GAGAGGGAAAATAGACAAGTACAAAGTATCCCAGGCACTGAGAGACCTGTGAGATCAAGGAAGGCTTCCTGGAGGAAGAGGAACCACAGGGCAGATAAAATGGAGTCAGTCTGCTAGTTTGGAGTGAGGGGGGGCCTACCCAGGTAGAAGAGGCAAGAAGAAGTAGAAGTGGAAGTAGAAGAGAAAGGAGAGCGCTGGGTGCAGGAAGACCAAACAGAGAGCCCTGTGAGAGCCTGCTGATGGTGAGGAACCAAAGCGGCCAGTATATGCCCTTCGGCGCAATGCGCCTTCAAATTATTTATTTAATTATTTATTTATTTGCTTTTTGGGTCACACCCAGATATGCTCAGGGGTTATTCCTGGCTCTGCACTCAGGAATTACTCCTGGCAGTGCTCGGGGGACTATATGGGACCTGGGTGGGCCGCGTGCAAGACAAACACCCTACCTGCTGAGCTATCGCTCCAGCCCCACAATGCACCTTCAAGTGGGTCACCAGAGTCCTCTGTGGTGGCCGTCCCTCCCTGTCCCACTGATCTAAGCACTGACACACCTTGAGGAAAGTTCTGGAGGGAGGCTGGCGTAGACTTGGAAGTTTCAGGAACAGAGCAGAGGTCACTGTGGAAACAGCTGAGTGCTTGGCCCTGGGCGCCATGCCCAGGGCAGGGCTAGCAAACCCTCACCCACACCTGCACAGCTCTGCCCACAGCCTTTGCGCCAAGACTGCAGGATTGTTGGCTCGTGTGTGAGGTTTTTTCCCTAACAGATGTGATTCATCACACCACTTTACTTATTTTATTTTGTTGTTGGGGGGGGGGGGGGCACATCCGGCGACGCTCAAGACCTTATTCCTGGCTCTGACTCAGGAATTACTCATGAGAGGGCTCTGGGGACCATATGGGATGCCGGGGATTGAACGTGGGTCAGCCGTATACAAGACAAATGCCCTTCCCACTGTACTTGAGATTTGTAGTTGCTCCAGCCCCTCGTATGATGAGGTTTTTAAAGCACCTATAGATTTCTCAAGGGGGGGGCAGGAATACTGAGTCGCTGGAGCAACAGTGTAGCAGGTGACATGCTCACCTTGCAGGCGGGGAACACAGTTAGATCCCAGCTCCACATATGTTCCCCCGAGCCCACCAGATGTGGCCCAAAATCCAAAAGGAAGAGTAAACCCCAAGGGCTGGAGAGGCGGGGAGAGAGAGAGAGAGAGAGAGAGAGAGAGAGAGAGAGGGAGGAGAGATAACAGGGATTAGGGAACCAGGCAGGGTTCGATGCCCAGCATCATCTCCTTGGCCCACGCCCTAAGCTGCCAGCCCAGTTGGCTGAGCATCACGGGAAGATGCCTCCAGCCCCCCTGAGCACCACTTGGGAGAGCCCAGAAAAAAAGAACTGCAGCCATGCCAAGATCTACCCCTAGGAGAAGAGACACAGAAAATGGTACCATAGTATGACCCATGTAGAAAAAGGGGTGAGGCTATTGGACCCCACTAGACCAGGCCCTACCCAGGGCTGTGCCGCCGAGTCAGGGAAGCATCCGGGGCTCATGCCCTCAGTCCACTTTCCATCCCTGCTCCAGTCCCACATAGCCACTGTGGGGTTCAGCCTGAATCCCCATGCTTTGTCCACACCCCGCTTAGCTTTCAGAACCTGCCAGGCCATGGGCTACTCCTCCGCTGCCCAGAGTCAGGATCAGGCCCTCGAGGCAACCTGCTCACCCCTTGGAGTCCGTGCCCCAGGGCAGGCGTAGGCAGAAGGCACTGGCACTTCCTGTCTGCTGGTGCTGGCCACAGTGCTCCCTGCAGAGGGAGCAGGACCCACCAGTGTTCCCCACGTCTGGAGGGCCTCTGCGGGGCTCCGATGCTGCTGCATGAACCCCATTTCAGCACCAGCAAAGGCAGGAACCGCTGACCTGCCCTGCGGTAGCACTGTGAGGTGGTCAAGGACCTGCAGGGGAGGCGACAGCAGGGTCTGGGATGATCCTCAGGCCCTCTGCATGACCACCGCCCGGCCAAAGCAGCAAATATTCTTTAACTAAATGAGTACCTTTTATCAGTTAAAATAGGCTTATTTGGGGGCTGGAGCGATAACACAGTGGGTAGGGCGGTTTGCCTTGCATGCGGCCAACCCGGGTTCAATTCCCAGCATTGCATATGGTCCCCTGAGCACCACCAGGAGTAATTCCTGAGTGCATGAGCCAGGAGTAACCTCTGAGCATCTCCAGGAGCGACCCAAAAAGAAAAAAATAAAAATTAATAAATAGGCTTATTTACTTGGGGGTCACATCTAACTGTGCTCAGGGGTCACTGGTGACTCTGTCCTTGGGGAATCACTCCTGAAAGTGCTCAAGGAGTATATCAGGGGTTAAACTCTGGGCTTCTGCCTGTGAAGCCTGCTCTCAGCCCACTTAGAAAGACCCCAAAGAGGGTTAATCGAATAGGGGGTGGAGAGTTAGTACAGTGGGGAAGACATTTCCCTTCCCTGACCAGGGTTCAATCCCCAGCATCGTCTATGGACCCCGAGCATTGGCAGGAGTGATTTCTGAGTATCATCGAGTGTGGCCCACAAAATAAAAAACAAAAATCAGACAATACTTTTCCTCCCAATATTTTTTTAAGTTTCAGTCACAATGATTTACACTAGTGTAAATTTATTTTTACGTTTATTACTAGTCAGGTTTCTTGAATAAAGCATTATAGAAGCATGCCTGCCCCAAGTGACAGCTTCCCACCAGCACTGTCCCCGTGCCCCCGCCCCCACTGTGCCTCCCTCACTCCAATCCCCAGCAGACAAACTTCCTACTAGAACCAGTCCCTGGGTGTCTTTTGGGCAGCCATTCCTTTACTATGTTTCTTTCTGCCCCAGATGAGCGAGTTCATTCTGTGTCTGACCCGCTCCTGCTGACTCATTTTAGCAAGGTACTCTCCGTGCTCAACCACTGAGCAGCAAGTCTCACGATTTCATCTTTTCTTGCGGCCGAGCAGTATTCCATGTGTGTATGTACCGTAGCTATCCAGTCAACTGTTCTCAGGCACTTGTGTTGTTTCCAGAGTTTGGCTGGTGTGGATAGTTCTGCAATGAACGTGGGTGAGCAGACGGCTTTTCTGAATAGAACGGAACAGAGCCAAGGAGCAGAATTGCGGGTCTTAAGGAAGCTCAGTTTCTGGTCTTTTGAGAACTGTCCATATTGTCTTCCAAAGAGGTTTGACCCGTCTACGCCCCTGCCGACAGTGGGCAAGGGACCCTCTCCTCACACCCCTGATGCATGGGTGCCTTTACTTTTGGAAAGTGCCAGTCTGTGCCCGGGCTGGCCTAGGCCCCACAGTGAACAGCGCTGCCTTGAGGCCCACACTCAACCCCAGGCCACACATGCAGTTTCTGTGTCTGAAGCCCCCCTCCTGCTCCCTCAGCAAGTCCTGAGAGCCCCTGATACCTGGGCCTGGTCTCACCTGGCTGAGTGAGAACCCCTGGAGGTTCCCCAGATTACAGCCCAAGGCCCCGCCCCTAGAGCTCCCCCAGTCTATGGTGCCCAGGAAGGGCTGGGAGAACCGTTCTGGAAGCATCCCCCAGAAGCTGCAGATCACCAGCAGGCATGGGGAGGTGGGTGCTCAGCCCTCAGGCAGCTCCCAGAGAGCATCACAGGGTGGAGGGACATGGTGCAGGTGTGGCCTGGGCTGGGGCACGGGGGTGTGGCTGAGCCCCATGGGCATGGGCACGTCCACGCTAAAGGCTAGGCGGGGAGGGAGCCCCAGGCACAGGGTGTGCAGAGCGCCAGCCTGAACCTTGCTCCCTGTCTGGGAGTTCAGCCCATTAGACAGCTCTGAACACTGAGGCCAGGCAGTGCACTGGGTGAATCATGTCGGTCCTTTCGTCTGTGTCCTCAGCAATCCCAGCAGGTTTGTGCACATGTGCAGACAAAGGACTGTGATGGTCAGCATCAGCCACTGCAGGCACTCAGGGGTAACCATCCCAGGAAGCCAGCAACATTCGATATGGGGGACCTGCTCCGTGACCGGCCCTGTTCCGGGTGTTGGCGCTGCAAAGCAGAGCCCTGCGCCCTGGGGTCCTGGCAGAGCAATTCTGCTGGGGGACTAGGTTGCTGTGGGCACCAGCGAGGGGCTCCCGGAGCATGCATGTGCTCCGAACAGCACGGGGAGATAGGCCACGGGAGTGACAGGTGGCAGCAAGGACCTCGTCGGAGATGGCGTCACAGCACCGTGGCCTGAGAGCTGAGCCGGCCGTGGGCAGCGGGTGTGTGTGGAGCGAGTTTGAGACTTGGTGAAGGATTCCCTGCAATTGTTCCACAATTACAAAATAACGTTTCTTCCTTGTCCCACTCAGCAACAAAACAAATACAGAAACATTTTTTAACAATGTTAAGTGGAGATGTGACATGTGAGCCAGCGAGGCTGTCAGTTCTGTTCTCAGTACAGATATGAAAAAAATCATTGGAAGTGCAGGAACCTCCACTTCCAGCCTGGGGAGAGGCCTGCTTCAGGCTGGCGCCTTGGGGCCCAATAGCGCCCCTTTTCAGCTTAGTCCCTGCAGCCACCTGGCCTGTGCTGTATCTTCGAAAGGCCACATCATAGCCCCTGAAGCACTCAGCCACGCTCAGCAGAATTCACCCTGCCCACAGCTGTCTCTCCTGCCACGGGGTGATAACAGGCAGAGGAGACAGGACAGACCTGCCTAATCCCTCAGGATCTTCCAGTGGGTAACTGCAAACACTCAACCCTGGCATGACAGAACACCAGGAAACAAGTTGGGGAGACACCCACCAACCTCAGTGAGTGACAACAGTATCACCAATACAGAAACAACAGCACCAGCAAATCCTCAGACAGGGTCTTTAGTGACTCTCTGATGAGGATGTCTGATGAGTTCAAAGAAACGGTAACACAGGGAGTCAGCTTAAAACACAAGAAAGTATGAGAGTAGAAAGGAAAAAACTAGTTTAGTCAGAAATGAAGAACATGGTCGGTGCTATTGAAACTCAATAGGGATTATTTTCCAGCTCATAAGCAGGATGATTGGGTGCTCACACGTTGGTCTGAAATGTGCCTCCCTTAGATCTTGTTACACACTTGGCACATTACCCACCCAACGTGGAAAAAAAAAATAACACCTCAGTGGAAGCTCTGAGCAAAAGATCAGGAGCTCCAAGATGAGAAGGAAGAAACTGCTAGGAAATAGCAAAAGGTGGGAAATAGTCTGAAAAGAAATGAACAGCATACTAGAGAACTATGGGATGAGTTCAAGAGAAACAATATAAGAATTAGCAGAGTCCCTGAAGAACAGGAAGGCAAATTCGATGACAAAATAATAGTTAAATAAATCATAGATAAGAATTTCCCAGAGATGAACAATTCAGGAGCCAAGATCCAAGAAGCCCAAAAGGACCCAGTAAAAAATAACTCATATAGAAAAACTTCAAGACACACAGTGCTCAGTGACGGAAACCACAGAGATGGAATACTGAAAGCAGCAAGATCAAAAAAGGAACTTAAGGGGGCTGGAGTGATAGCACAATGGGTCGAGCGTTTGCCTTGCACGCGGCTGCCCCGGGTTCAATTCCCAGCATCCCATATGGTCCCCTGAGCACCACCACGAGTAATTCCTGAGTGCAGAGTCAGGAGTTAACTCCTATGCATTGCCGGGTGTGACCCAAAAAGAAATTTTTTTTAAAAAAAAGGAACTTGCAAAGGGAAGTCCCTAAGACTTACAGCAGATCTAGCAAATGAGGCTCTCTGAGCCAGGAAAGAATCAAGAGATATAGTGCAAAGCTCAGGGAAACGAACACCTCACCAGAAGCCTCTATCCAACTGGACTATCCTTCAGATTTAAAGGAGCGACAGAGAGTTTCACGGACAGGCAACAGCTTAGGGAATTCAGATCCTCGAAACAAGTTATGCAGCTTTAAAATATCTTTAGATGACAGGACACACATTGCCATCACCAGCACTGGGCATGACCTCACCACAGCGCACGTGTCTGCCCTCTGCTAGATTAAGGAAGCATGTTTGCACCAGATCGCTGGGGGACCTTATACACTTTCAGAACGAATCAACATCTCATCTGTATTGTTCTATGTCAGATCAGTTTTTTTTTACATTCAGATACTTTTATTTTAGGTGCTAGGGTTAAAACTTATTTACATAAATGAGAATAGGTACTATATCACATTGTATTGTATTAAATGATTTGAATTTCTTTACATATGTTAAAATCATATAGGAATTAATCATTACAAATGGGCTTTTTGGTTTTTTTAAGCATTTTTTTTAATTTTTATTAGTGGAACACCATGAGGTACAGTTGTAGACTTACAAATTTTTGTGCTTGGGTTTCATTTATACAATGATCAAGTACCCATCCCTCCACCAGTGCTCATTTTCCACCACCACCGGTCCCAGTATCCCCCCTACCCCCCATTCCCCCACAAATGGACTTTCTGGAGCGATAGCACAGTGGTAGGGTGTTTACCTTGTGTGCAGCCAGCCCAGCTGAGCCGGGTTTGATTCCTCCGCCCCTCTCAGAGAGCCCAGCAAGCTACTGAGAGTATCTCACCCACACAACAAAGCCTGGCAAGCTACCTGTGACGTATTCAATATACCAAACACAGCAACAACAAGTCTCAAAATAGAGATGTTACTGGGCCTGCTCGAGCAAATCAATGAACAATGGGAGGACAGTGTTATTTATTTTTTTATTTTATAACATAGTTTACAATATTTCATTGCATTTAATATTCAAACACTAATCCCACCACCATTACATCTTCCTACCACCATATTTCAGGTGTTTCCATCCCAAATCCCAATCCCTGCCCCAAAACAGAACAGAAATAATATATTTTGTATTGTTTGTTATGAAAAACCACTGAAGATGCTACAAAAACGTTTCCTTTGAGGAAAGAGGGTGAAGATTGTTGTATTTCACCCAGGGCCCATTAAGCTCTTCTATAAGAGATAACTAACATGTTGTTGGAGGTTGAGCCTTGTGTGATTTTATATACATATCTGTAAAAAAATACATATTTCCCTCTAAGATTGGTTACTCCTATTTTGAACTCCATCAAATGTGGTGTGGTGCTCTTGGAGTATGGGTAGGGTGTGTGGTATGAAGTGTCATGTGGCTGCAAATGTGGCCACATGGTCCAGGAAAACATTTACTCATGGGTGAGACTCGACCCAAGTGTGTGGAGAACAGCCATGAGCACAGTGGCAGTTGAGTTTTGGAGGTTTTCGGCTGCTGGGGCTGGGTCCCTTGGTGGGGGGGCGGGAGGGAGTGCTCTCACCAGAACCCCTTTGGGGCACCCTAAGTGAAACAGGCTGGTGCTGGGTCCATGGGCATGGTTATGTGAGTGTCATGTTATGCCCCCTTCCGGGAGAGAAGGACATGCAATCTGGATGGTGGCCGTTGACAAGATTGTTTGGCACCAGCCAAAGGTGGCTTATGGGTCTGACTGCTGATTTGCCAGAGACAGGGGGATATGGGCAGAGGATCTCCATACAAATAGACTTGTATTGATTTATTTTTTTAATAATTCTGTTTCCCATTCCTTTAAGTTTTGTTAGGGTAAGTGATATGAAATAAATTTGTTATAGGCCTCCTAAGGTGGTTAGGGGTGGAAGGGAACAATACAATAATCGTGCTGAATATTGCATTCCTGAAAAAGCTCATTATGAATATTTTATAAATCACGGTGTCTTAATAAAAGTAAAATGATTCTAAAAATGTAATTAGTAGTGAGATCAGGAACCAGAGAGCAAGAGTACAACAACTGTTTTGCAGCTGATCTGGGCATGATCTCCAACACCTCACACAGTCTTCCTAGCTCCTCCAGGACTGATCCTGGACTGAACACAAAGTCAGGAGTAAAACCTGAGCACCACTAGGTGTGGTCCAAAAACAAAAACAAAAAAAGTGGAGTCAGAGAGCACACGAGAAGGTTAGGTGCTTGTCTTGCATGTGGCCAATCCGAGTTCAATCCCCAACACCCCATATGGTCTCCTGAGTCCCACCAGGAGCTATTCCTGAGTGAAGAACTAGGAATAAGCCCTATACACAGCCAGGTGTGGCCCAAAAACAAAACTAAAAAGCAAAAGGCAAGAATGCAAGGATTCCTTTCTCTACACTGTCCTCTGGTTAGAAGCAGCCCCGTGCAGGTGCATTTGGGGAACTCCATGAATATGTGAGAGCAGGAGTGATCAGTAACAGGAAATAATGAATTAAGAGGGTATAGAAGCACTAAGTTAACATCTTAGGGGCATCGAGAGCAGCTGGATGAAAGAAATGTCTAGAGGTGAGACAGATGGTTCAGCTGGAAGGGCACTTGCCTTGCACATGGCCAACCCAGGTTTGGTCCCCTGAGCACCGCCAGTAGTGATCCCTGAGCACAGAACCAGGAGTAAGCCCTGAGATCCTCCAGGTGTGGCCCAAAGCAAAACAAACCAAAATAAAGAAGCGTGTGCTACATCCTACATACCATTTTATATTCACCTAGAGTCTGTGCAGAAGGAGATGCACTGTAGGGGGCTGACTCCTGAGATCCTAGCTGCTGGCAATGTGAAGCACTCCAGGACGAGTCCAAAGCCCGAGATGCTGGCAGTCATCATCCTGCTCCTGCCTGAAGAGTAGACATTTCTGCTATCCCTGATTCCACTTCCCAGGCTCTCAAGTTGAGGTCTCTGTTCTTCAGCAGAGTTGCATTTTGGGGCTAATCGGCCCTTCAAATGATTGGGCAAAGCCTGCCACATTGGGGAGAACAATCTGATAGACTCAATCTGCCCTCTTCAAAGTGAATCACGCCCAAAACTACTTCACAGACATATCCAGAATAACGTTGGACCTGCGGCCTTGTCAGACATTTGGCCTGGAGCACATGGTTTGCTCACGGAGGCCTGGGTTCCATCCAGTGGTCCCTGAACACTAACAGGGGCAGACACCATGCCCCTGAGCACTGCAGTGTGTGACCCCCAAACCAGCAACTTACAGAATCATGACTGAGCAAATATCGGACCCAGCCAAAGTGGTTCATGGCATGAACCATCAAAACAAACATTTCACTAATACACAAAGGATTCTTGTGTGACTGGAGTGATAGCACAGCTGGTAGGACATTTGCCTTGCACGCAGCCGACCCAGGTTCGATTTCCAGCATCCCATAGGGTCCCCCAAGCACCGCCAGGAGTAATTCCTGAGTGCATGAGCCAGGAGTAACCCCTGTGCATCGCTGGGTGTGACCAAAAAAGCAAAAGAAAAAATAAGAAGGATTCTTGCTTGTGGTGGCATGGGGGTTGGGGGGGGGGGGGGACAGGGTATGGCAAGGCAGGACAGGGATTGTGCTGACTAATGGAGGATCTGTATCTTCCAGGGGTCCCAAAGCCCCTCCAGCAGCCCTGGGAGGCCTGTGGGCAGCTGCAGTGGGATCAGTCCCTGCACTGGCCCCAGCTAGGGCGGCCCTGCCCCCACCCAGCTCTGCCGGCTTTGCTGTGCTCAGCACTTTCAGGCCCATCTTGAACACATTAGCCACCACTCTCGCTGGCTGGAGGCGATCACATTTTCCACGCGGAGGGAGCGAGAGAAAAGCCTCACTGCCGGGGCTGGCTCTCCTCTGCCGGCTCCCTCAACCTGCGGTGCTCCAGGCCTGGGTCCTTACCAGGCCTCAGAACAGGAAAATGTGCCCAGAGAGCATGTAGCCGGGGCTACGGGGGGTGGGGGGTGGCATAGGGGCGGGAAGCCTAGGAGCGGGGAGGGGAGAAGATGAGAAAAGGGAGCCAGAGGATCCCGAGGGGAGGGGGCTTTACAATGATAAAGAGAGCACTGGACACAGAGTCCCGGTACCGAAGACCACATCCTGCTCAAGGCACCCAAAGTGATCTCTTGAGAGTATAAGATGACCGGGGCAGGGCGGCAGCAGTAGAGGATCAGGGCTCATGCTTTGTGAATGCAAGGCCCCCATTCTGATCCCTGGCCTCACATGGCTCCCCGAGCATCTGCAGGTGGTTGACCTGATGACCCTGAAGCAACAGCCAGGTGGTTCCCCCCCTCCAGCATGTCATCATCCCAGGCACCGAGCCTGGCAGCCCACTCGGTGAAGCATG